CAGGGCAGTTCCCAACATATCCCCCTTTTCTAGTTTTTTTAAAATCAATTGTGGTCGTTAAGCCTGTGAAACCTACTTTTGCTGTTTTCGAATGCAAATCAGAAGAAAAGCAACATCTACATACATCATAAGGCAATAATAGAAATATAAAGCAGAAACTAAATTCTATGGGTGGTGAATACCTAAATTTCTAAATTCAGTGCAAGAAAACATATTAAGGGAAAAACAAAAGTAATAGGTCTGATTACATTTCAATCTTTGAGAGAAATTACATAGATATCAGGAAAGGCAAATTACAAGGCAGTTTGAGCATAATGCAAGCCTGACTTTTTACAAGAGGATTTCTTAACAGGTGCAGTTCTGCGCACCGACTCATCACCTACTTTCTTACGTGGGTGTTGAGTTTTAATTTTACGCCTGCCAGAGTGGTTTCTCATACCTTCTCCCTTGTTTTCAGTTAGGACTGCTAAGGGTTCCATAAAGGTGGCTACCTGCTGGTCTCTGACACGACCCTGGGAAAACAATTTGCAAATACACCGAAGTACACAAATCAATATCACAATCAGTAAACAACCAGCAGCTCCAAAAACCCAAATTCTCAAATTAATTCCATCAAACCATGTTTTAGGATTCAGCCAATTAATATTTTCATTAAGGGCTCGAAAAAATGTCCTGTTTGGTTAAACGTTGAATGTCCTGCAGCTGATGATGTAACTCCAACTGCAATTTATCAATTTGTCCTTTTAAGTTAGTGGAGAAAGCTCCCCTCAAGCGATGTTGTATATCAGTCCAATTATGTTGGCTGGAATTCCACTGTAGCGGTGTGACACACAGTCTGGAGAAACCAGGGTCACAGGTTAGGTGTTGACGAATCACGAGAGCGTCCTGGCGTTCGCCAATCCAGTCCAGTGCTGATTCAACTGCAGAAAGGCGGGTCAGGATCTCCTGATCTATCTGAGCCTGTTGGACTAATTCTAAAGTAGCATTGATTAAACCATAAGTGCAACCAGGTGTTAACAAACTGTCGGACTCATAAGGAGAGCAGTGCATTGTTAAATGCTATAATGCCATTTGGATTCATTCATTTTCTGGTCATATTCTGGAGATAACAGATTTGGAAAGAGTAGGAAGACACAATTAAATCATAACCACTATTAACGACTGGTCTTGTTAGATTTATGCAAAGAAACCTTATGTCATTACTTACTCCTTTAGAATGCCAAATTCTGGAGGGATCAGGTAGGGAGAAAAATATAAAGTGTGAAGGAAAATCCTTTTCCTTCTGCTATCTACCAGGCTTCTTAAAACTTTCACTTCCACAGACCTTCTGCAACATTCACAAACTCTCTATTCTTTTTCATACACTTTCTGATATCCACCAAGATTGCATCTCCATGTCTTATACCTTCAATTACTAACACACACCACATAATTCTTTCTTAAAACGTTTACTTCCACAGATTTTCTGCAACATTCACAAACCTTCTAATCTGTCTTTCATACCCCTTCTGATATTCACCAGGATTGCATTTCCATGCCTTATACCTTCAATTATTAACTAACATCACATAACTTCTTTCCTAAAACTTTTACTTTTCCATTTATCTTTACAGTTTCCCCATTTACATTCCTAGAGTGTGAAGTTTCAACCTTCCCTGGAATCCTCAATTTTTTTTTTTCACAGCAGATACAGAGTAAAATCCATCCTTCTCTGTGGGGGTGAAGGTGGGGCCTCCGTGATCTGCTCACTCAATTTGCACACCGTTTCACTGTCAGAATCAGATTCATCATCATCTAGCTCTGTTTTCTTTGCCCAAATGAACTCGAGAGAATCCCTGACAAGCCTCCAGGTTACAAAGGTGTGTGCACCAATAGATATACCACTGTTTTGCAAAGATTTCAACCTTTCACCCACTTTTTCCAAAACATCAATGTCTAACGTCCCTCTATCAGGAAATGAAGGACAACATTTTCTTATAGATTGCAAAAGCTGCACCAAATGCTTTTCTTTCTTATACTTTGTTATACTTTCTTATACTTCCTTATACTTTGCTTCTTTAAGAACTTGTTGTAATATACGCAGAAAAGATTTCTGCCCTTTAGATAAGTTACAACCTATGTTTACCTCCCTTCTTTTTTTTTAAAGAAAAAGCTTACTTTTATTTACTTTTAATTGGCCAAAATAAATCACCTGATTACTTTTTTCAAGGCAAATCGTTTGTTTTTTCCCAAACTTGAGAATTAAATTACTATTTACCCAATTATAGGCGGTCGCGAAGAGAGAAACGACCTAGAAAAGAAAGACCTACTTCCCTGAAAATTCAACGCATCCCAACACATGCCCGAGAAAGAGTTCGGGGTCGTTGGCCCTTACCTGGGCTGTTAGCGCGCAAATCCACCCGAAGTTGATGCGTTGTCCACAGCGACGGCTCGTAGCCGCTGGTTCCAAGTGGTCTCGAACGGGGTCCCACCTCTGTGGTCCCGAATCGCTGCCCCACGTTTGGGCGCCAGCTGTTGCGCGTGGGTCACCGGCCAGCAGTGACCACGGCACACTGTGGATGGCTCGACAATACGCGAGAAAAAACACACATGCACAGAGACAAACCAGTTTCTGTGGGGAAGTAGGGACAGAATGGCCACCCCCCCTAGTGGGGAGCGCGCTGATTTACCGTCCATACCTGCTTTTATTAGGCTCATTTTGCATAATAACTCAGGTAACGTACAATACTCATTAGGGGAAGTAAGGAATATATAAAACAAAGAACTCTGCCGGTCTATTGAGTTGGGGGGTCAAAGAGCTGTAAGGCTGAGGAACAAACTAGCTTCCTCCTAAGACCCTCCTCATTCAACTAAGAGCATTCTTGGACAAAGAAGGTTTCACAGTAATTTACATGTTCTTTCTTAGGCCTGATCACCCCGGGAAATCCGCACTTCCCAGTACCGAGCTGTACTTCCCCGTCATTGTTTCAGGCTTAGGTGGAGCGTGGGAACTAAAGCCACCGAGAGATAAGGAGATTTTCTTCCGGACGCTGAGAACTCAGACTTTGTCAAAGCCGAGGAGTGAGGGTCCATCACCCCCCTTTTGCTGCAGCCCCCCAAGTCCTTCTTTTTGGGGGGCCTCCCAAAAGTGATCGTGCCTGGCTTGGGTTGTTCCCCCGTGGGGAATCTTACCCGTCTTTGGCTAACCGACCAAGCTTTTTTGGGGTTCAGCAGCAGAAACAGCATTACTGCCAGGGAGATAAGCTTTTTTCTCCTTGCCGGCTCACGGTTCCAAGGGCGTTCCCTTAGCCTAGCCTAGGCGGGGGTCTCAGCTTCTAATACCAGTCAGGGCGGTTCCCAACAAAAGCTTAAAATGTTTTTATCCCAGAGTTTGGCCTTTCTACTTTCTTCTTGTCATTCAGATCTTAACTTCAATGTCATTCCTTTAATAAGGTCTTCCCTGGCCAACTATTCTTAAATGATTTCCCAGGATCCTTTATACCATTTTTTATTTTATTTTCTAATGACATTTATCACTATGTGATATTTTGTTTGTTGCCCACACTCCCCCACTCCGTGTAATGAAAAATGCATCAAAGCATTGCTTTTGGCTGTAATGTTCTTTGTTACACCTAGAATGGTGCCCAACATATACCCTGAATATACGCTCAATACATTTTTGTAGCCTGAAGACAATATGGGTTGGGTTACCTGTTCTAGAACATAGGCTTTGGAAATCAGGTTAAAATCCTGGCTCTCTTTGTAATCTTGATCAAATACTGTAATTTCTCAAAGCCCAGTTTATTCATATAAAAATGGGGATAAAAATAGAAACGACTTCATAAGATTGCAAGGATTAAATGAGATGAATCATTTGAGCAAAGTAGTCAAGGTCTAGGGACAGGCAGGTACAGAGTCATCCCTTACTACCACCACTCAGGAAAATACCTATGCCTCAGTTTCCTCATCTGTATTTATGTCCTTTATCATCTCACATGGTAGGAAAGGATATTAAATGTTAGAGTGCATAGAAAGCACTCAGCACAGGGCCCAGAATGTGATAACTACTCAATAAATATGCTCAATGAACACCTCTAAAATTTAAGACCTGCATTTCTGATATAGGCTAGGGACATATATGGAGAATGGTGGAAAGGAAAGCAAGTACCCAAAAGGTAATGAAACTACCTCTCAAGAGTGGAGTCAGAAAAATCTAGGTCCCAACCCAGTTCTGTATTATCTGTTATTACCAGGACAGAGTTCCTCTATAAATGATAATAGAAGCTACCATAGATGGTTGTTGCATTAAATGAGATAATGCATAAATATTCCTCTCTAGTTCACCACAGCACCTAGCATAGAGCTTGGCAAATATTTCTTAACTCACTAACACATGATAAGGCACTTAGTCTGGCACATAACACTCAATAAACATTTGTCATCACTGTTTGATATTAATACTATTACCATTATAGTGGAAGTTGGGGAAAGTGAAAGTGGAAATTACTATTTGTGGCTGACAGCCTAATGGGAAGTTGTACTCTTAGCTATAAATATTTTCTCATGAGGAATCAGATTCAAATAGACATTATTTGTTATCCCAGATGATTTACTTATATTATTCTACATCTAATTTAGCTTACAAATGACTAAACCACAGTATAAACATGAGGATGGGAGGAATAATATTTCTCTAAAACCAGCCAATACCTAGGTTTCACTTATGACTGGAAAATGTAATCATGGTTACCACTATGATATATCATTTCAGCTAGTCCTGGAATGAGGCCTAAGTAAGTATAGTGTTTGTGCATATATTTGTGTCAGTCTGATTCCTCCCAATCTTCCTTTATCTAGGTAAAAATAAATATTAGATTGAAATGGCCCCTTATCATTTCCTCAGAAAAACATATTTTACCAAAGGCCTTCAAAGCTGCAACCCACTTCCTCTTCCTTAGGTCCTTAAGCAGACTCTTGCTAATACCATTTCTTCTTTCTCTTCCTTTCTTGTGTCATCCTAGGCTGTCATGGTGTCCCTGTTGACAGATTATTCACCTCAGCTCCAGAAGCCAAAGTTTTAATGCTGTGATACTTGCTGAGAGAGAAACAATGTTCTTCTGTAGCAGAATGAGTCAGTTTATGGGGAAAGGAGAAAAGAATCTAAGAGAAATAAGGAAATTCTGATTCATGGTATAGGTGAACAATATGATATTGCTTTGCTCTTCTAAAACTTTCCTAAACTCCTTAATTTAAGTGTTGATGCACTGTAATACATGCCTTGACTTGATTTTAACTAATTTATGATTTCTGGGTTACATTTTGTCATCATATTAATAATTATATATATATATATATATATATATTTACCTCAACTAAACATAAAATACTACATTCATAATATGTAATGTGTAAGCCATTAAATGTAATCTATGCTTTTTACCTGAATAAATTATCACCCAAACAAATCTGTAAATAAACATTTACCAAACAGGTCAGCTGCTAGTATATCTGTGGGCTGCGTTCATATTCCCCAGTACTAACAAAGAAGCCGAATGAGCCATCTTGCTGACATATTGCAATTTTCAGGCAAATGAAGTAGATAGACATTTGCTTATGGAGGCAAATGATGAAGTTCTTAGAAAACAGTTATAATTCTGCCAAAACTCTGGAGTTTTTTCCAATCATTTGTGGGAAGGAGGGTCCTTCTAGAGCACATATCTCTTTTCTGTACTGAATATTTAATGTTACAACACTAAGGAAACATTTGTAAACAGTGGTAAAACCATGGATACCTAGCTAGCAATGTAAGATCTGTTAGAGTGACATTTTCATAGGTTCAAATTCTTCAGCAGGAGCACTTCAATTTTTTTCATGTTTGTGTTTATCATGCATCTACTTATACCACACACTAGATATTTTCATAAATCTACTACTTGCCATATTGTAGCCCAATACCCCTCCAGGTTTTCTTCAAGATGATAAAATTTGCACTACTGGGTTATTATAATGTAATTAAAGCTAGAGTCTCTTGTGGGTGACTAAAACTTGAAATGTTGAATTATTATGATATAGTTAGAAAACTTTTAGTTAAAATTTAAATAACATAATTGGAACTTAAAAATAATACATTTTACAGAGGAAAAAAATAATGTCTTTTACAGAGAACAAAAAAGTAATTACTTTTACATTCTACCTCCCCCATTAGAAGAATGTTTTCAGGCTTGTTGGCTGATATTTTTCAGCAGATATCTATGACAAATGAGTAAGAGATAACTGACAAATTAGATTTGCAATAAAACATTTTGTAGGGAAAAAAGGCTTATAATGTTATAGGGGAAATCATTTTTTCTAGTAAATATCAAAGGTGATTTTTGTGTCTGTGGTAATTTATAAGGAGCACTTAAGAAAGAAAGAATGGAGTTTATGGACTATCTTCCTTCAGCAGAGGGTATAGGAATGATTTAACCAGAAGGTGTCATGTGGACTGTCAAGACTCTCCCTCAAAGTGCCTACATGTAAAGGACATAATCCTGAGTATCCTTCTACATTCTAAATGGTCCCCCATGGTAATGAGCTGATGTTTTTACAAGTTATTCTTTGAACCAAGTGGAAGTATAATCTTCATCCCTCAATAAGAAAAAACTTATAATCATTTTCTTGCTAACATATAGTCACTTTACCTCAAAAAGTCCTATAGCTTTCTTTTTCATGTATATGAAATTCAATATCTTTCTCAACCCAAATCTGTAGAAAATGCTTAATTTTTTATCTTAGGAAGACATTATTTATATTATCAGGAATAAAGAAAACGAGGGAAAAAGTAGGCTTAATTTCTTCCAAACTATTTTTTAATTTCCTCTTTCTTTATACCCTTCCCTCCCTCATTCTCTTTCCTGTGTAACTACTGCAACAACAAAGATTAACAAAAATTTCAGCAATGACGCTTGGGTTTCTGGTGTACACAATAGATCCTATCTATTTTATTACCATAACTAGCAAAAGAGTTCCTTGCTTCCCGGCTTTCCCCATTGTAACAATGGAAGTAAAAACACACTGCAATGATTTCAATGTCAGGGAAGAACCATCCCTTGTGTGTTTGTTTGTTTGTTTTTTTGTTTCAGTGATAAGTTCCCAAGAACTTTAGTAAAATAATTCAATGTCAGATATTTCTAATGGATATTGTGCTAATGGATGGTTTGACTTTAAGATCCCCAGGCAGAAAGATCTGCACGGATTAGCATGGCAATGCCACGTTAGACCTCATATGCAAGCAACACTAGAACCTCAGTTAAAATGGCAGGGGCCCCTTGGTCCAATGCAAAAGTTCCAAGACAAGTCTTCTCATGTGATAAAAACGACTGACAAATACTTATGGAGAGCGTATCCATAATACATTCTTTTTTTGGGGGGGAGGAGTGCTTTTTGTCTTGGAGGCTGTCATCAATGTTTAGATTGTGGAGATGGTTGAGGCATGTCTTGAGATATGGTACCACTCAGCAATTTTGTAGGATTGATGTCTTTTGACAAATATGAAAGGTCATATCAAGGAATTAAAAAAGTCAAGTCACAACAATCAGACACCCACAAACAGGAATACTACACATTGACATGCAAGCTGTACTATGGGCAAAGGTCTCAGGTGAAAAGTATGAGTAAAGGTTGAAACCTGGTCTGTACTTCAGTTACCAAGTCTTGTACCCTGTTACAGTCCTTACAGCCAGGAGGAAGGAATGACTTTTTTGTAAGTTGTCCACCCAGAGGGAACAATTTTCAGAACAAATTTCAATAGGTGCTTTGTTTTAAGTCATACAAAGGGCCAGTATCTGCTAGGGTTGGCCCTACTATTAACAATTTTCATCACAATTTTTTTAATGTCACCTTTTATTTGGTTAAAATGAGACACATAGGGAAACTTCAGTGATGGTCTTAGTGTCTTGCTTCAGTTTCTGCCACAGTTTCATTAAGACTCCATAATGGAAATTAAGAGTGTCTGTCCATCTTTATGTGAAAAATACATGACACAGATCATTAAAGCAGGGATTTGAGATCAACTCTGTAATTCTTTAGTATTTAAAATAAATTCATCACTAATAATTGTCCAGAAAATTTAATATTGATTATTGATAAAAGAATCTTGGTCAGATTATATGGAAGTGAATTCCCTGATATGGACTAAATCTTTTTACAGTTTTAATAGTGTCTGACTTATACTGATGACACCAGACTCAGTTTCTTTTTGTTGTTAATCCTCACCTGAGGATGTTTTTTAGTTGACTTTACAGAGAAAAGAAGGGGTAGGGATGGGAGAGAGAGAGAGAGAGACCACTTGGTTGCCTCCTGTATATGCCCTGACCAGGGATTGAAACTGCAGCCTAGGTATGTTCCTTGACCAGGAATTGAACCTGCAACCTTTTGTTGTACAGGACAATGCTCTTAACAAATTGAACCACCAGGCAGGGTCAGCCAGCCTCAGTTTGCAATCAATGGTTTTGTTTAACTCACTTCCAGAGGAAATGCAGGCACTACTTACTGACTTACGCAAATGAATTTTTAAACCAGAAGATTTAGAAAAAATCCAGACCACCCTTTCATTTTACAAAAAAAGAAAATAGGAAATAACAACAATATGTTTCTAAGATAGAAATGTATTCTATACGGAGGGATAATGCACTTATTCAACACCCCTCTGCAAACTATCTGGGATCTTACAAATGTAGCAACATGATTTGATTTATGTCATAGGCTGAGTGAAGGAATAGGAAATTGCCTCATTTAGGACTATGGTTCTGTGAGGCCAAGGGACATAGGAAAGTTCATATCTGAAGCAGGGATGGGTACAGATATCCAGGGATATGAACAGAGATACAAAAAGAAATCCATGTAGTAGATGCTGTTGGTACCCCATCCCTTTTACCTGGGTTCACCCATCCTCCCAGTGGCTGCCACAGTTAGCCACTAATGGCTCACAGCCACTTCTTTTTGTAAAGAGCTACCCTCAGCCATCAGGAACCACTTAGCCCAAGAGACTCTCACCTTTATCTCACCACTGTAAGTCCACAGTCAAGGAATGATAGAAAGGTGTACCAGAACTTGGCTCTCTTCCTTCTAGACCAACTTTGTGGTTAAATTCATGCACCAGAGCTCCCCATGGGATCAGGCTAAATTTAATATCTGTTAGAGACCACATCCTTAGCTTTCCCCACTGCTAACCTGCTTCCCTTGCTCCCCTTCTCCTGAGTACTTCTTCAATAAATTATTTGCATAAGAATCCCCACCTCAGGCTCTTAAGGGGATTTGATCTAAGATGATCCATAAAAAGATTTTTTAGAGGTCTGTACTATACTATTTATCCTTTAGGCATCAAGGGTAGAATAGGGAAGTAAAAGGCCAAATGGTGATAAATGGTGAAAACCTTGTGCTTAGCAAGCAAAAAACTTTTCTGGTTATCAGGATCAGCCTTTCTTAAAAGGAAGCAGAACATTATACAAAACAAATATTATTTTCCTGTCACATATTCAATTTATAACAAGGAATTTAGTAGCCGCATGGAATGAGACCAGCTTGCTTTCCCCAGAAAGAGTAGATCCAAGTTAACTGACATAATATTCTTTGTTTTATTTCTGTGATACTTTAGTACCTTTCAATTTGTCAACCCTAGCAGCTGTTTAGTTGATCTGCTCTTTGTGTTGGCTTCCTGGCTTCCCCCAAAGCTTCTTGCTCAGTAGTTCTGTATTGGAGCCTGAGAATCTGTGTTTCTAACAATTTCCAGGGGATGTTGATGCTACAGGTCCAGGGACCACACTTTGCAAATCATTGTCCTGAGACAATTCTAAAGACTTATTTGACATGTTTTCATACCCACATCCATAAATTACCATCATAAAGCTACTGACACAACCCAGATCCTCTGAAGTATTAATCTGTCTTTGGAGCCACTGTGGTCTAGATTTCATCCCTCCTCTCCTACATAACAGCTATCTAACCCTGTCTTTCTTATTTGCAAAATAGAAATTATAATGTCCATCATAGCTTGTCTTCTGAAGTTGGCAGAACCCAGAAGCTGATACTTCAGCGAGGGCATCTCTTTCTGTGAGCTGGTTTGTAAATGTGCTACCCAGGTGAGCAACCTGGCTCTTTGCCAAACCCCATCCTGGAAACCAGCAAGTCTGAAAGTCTAATGAAGGTGACTACATTCTTTGCTTGACAAAGCATGCCAGGAGTGTACATTTATATGAAATAAATCAAAGGCATGTGGCAATTGTTGGACTTGGGGTCCAGCAGGTAAAAGGGGAAAGGGATTAGGAAAAAAACTTGTCATGGTTCATCCTTCTTTGTTTGAAGCTAGAACTGCTCAAAGGAAGAAGTTTTGAAACTGTTCTTAAGGCAGCACTTCTCAAACATTTTGGTCTCAGAACCTCTTTACACACCCATAAATTATGAAGATCTCAGAGAGCCTTTGTTTCTGTAGGATATATTTGTCAGTATTTACCACATT